CGAGGGCGTCGAGAGCCCTCGCCCAGGCCCTCACCGGCCATAGCGAGGGCGAGCAAGGGTCTTGTGGCCCTCGTCCCTGGGCCGGCGGGTGTCGCCGACCCTTGTCTAGTGGTTGGCCACCTTCGCTGGTGACTCACCGGCTCAACGAAGAAGAAGAAGAAAGGAAAAAAAAGAAAAGAAAAGAATAAAAATAATATAATCAATAAAAAATTCATATTTTTTTAAAAAAATAAAAATTTATCCATGTCAGCGCCACGTAAGACGGCCGGGGCTGACGTTAGCAATTTCTGGCCAAAATTAGTTGACAGGACTAAATTGACAATTCGTTAAAAGGTTTAGGACTAAATTGGCAAATAGTCAATAGGTTGAGGACTAAATTGGCACAATTGAAAGGTTTAGAACTAAATTTGCAACTTTTTAAAAAGATTTAGGACTGAATTGGAAAAACTGAAAGATTTAGGAAATTGCCCACTATACAATAAATTTAGAACTTTTTGAACAATTTTCCCGCTGAACTCCATTCTAGGCTAGGGCCTCGGGGCTCGAGTGCCCCGGTCCTACTTCCCCTGTCCTTGGACATGCCTAATTCTGATCTTTGTTGTTTCTAGGCTTCGATCCGAGTTGCGTCTTGGCTAGAACTCGAGACGGCTAGCACGGCTAAAATGGCGGTTTAAGGCCATGCAAAAGCGTTGCTTTGGACTGTTTGAAGTCATGGTTGTTGAAACTTGAACCACGACCAATCTTTTCGCCTTTTGCCTTTTATCATGACGCTGTATTAATGAACAATGATGATGGAGGGGACAGCGAAATCGCCCTCGTGATTCAGTGAAGTCATTCTTTCCCAAACAAACATTTGGGATCTTTTTGAATTCTTCAACAGAAATCGAGTGCTTTGGAGAATCTTTGCTGTTTTGCCTCTGAAGCAACCTGGCTGGCTAACCCTAGAGGGAAGCTTCCTTTCGCAAAACCTTGTTCATACTAAGCTGAACAGCCAGCCCACTGCTTTGTTTCGCATTCTATGAATCGAGTCCTTCCTTTATCAGGACGCGACCGGACTCGTGGCTCGTGCAAAGGTCGCTTTATCATAAGCTTTTGATTCGCTCTGAGAAAACTCTCTAGAGGGCCACAAAGGTTTCCTTTAAAGACCAAGAACCGCTTTCGGCTTTGCCCTGGCCTGCGAGGCCTTGAGATTCTTTGCCATTTCAGTTTCCAGGAACCCTTTCTGTACCGACTATATCTGAGTATTCCCGTGACTAGTTTTTCCCACATTGCTGTCCAAAAATAACGTACAAGATCGAGTTCGTCGCTTTACATTATTCTTTTGGGCGCAACTTTACAAGATATAATAGATATTGCCATTTCATCAAAGCTGTAGTCTGTTAACTTTGGGTAAAAGGAAAAAACATTTAGCCACGTGTAGGACTTACCTGTGGTTTTGTGAGGGATTGGCAGGCACGACAGATTTAAAGTGATTTGGTAATTATTGTCGAGCAAGAACTCTTCACAGTTGTAGTGATAGTATCATACTGAGAAAAGAGAAAAATCGAATTGATTGCGTTCTCACAATTAAGCCTTGCAAGTTACGTAGATTGCTAATATTACGTATAATGTTTTCCTTGAAAATTTTATGTTTATTAAGTTCACTTCTCTACTGCATCCAACTTATATGGAAATAGTATTGTTATACTTATCGCGGTGACAATATCATGAAATTGTGAAAGAAACATCACTTGAAGATCATAAATATCATCTGGAAGATAATTGAATTTTATGAACTTATTTGCCTAATACTTAAATTCACTATAACCAAATATCTCTACATCATACTTTACAAAAGTGAAATTTATCGGGAATTATTTCTACTCGATTTGACTAGATTATTGGTCATTTCTTTTTCAATAATTATTTTGGTTTAAGTAATAACTATAATATGCTATCTTAATGCATGTTGTATCAGATGGAATCAAAGTAATTTTACTTTCTATGGTGTATTATGTTGCAAGCATGTTAGTCAGTTTTTCTCTACATATTATTCTACAAAAATGAGTAAATTTTTTCTACAAATATATCACATCATGCAACATGCATAATAGAATCAATCTTACGTGTATTTATCGGTATAATTACTTTCTCGTTCCTGTAGAGTTATTTTTACTACTCATTATTTTAGATATTACTAGATAGATGTAATATTTATATGTGTTAATATTTTGAATACTTTTCTCTTAACTTTTTGAATTTTTTTTTCTCATTCTCATGTATAGGTCAATTTTACTACATATTGGCAAGAAATTTTTCTCTAAGCTTTCACATTTTCTTAGAGAAACTCTTAAATTTTTGTTCGGAAAAGAAAAGACTCCCTTCATTAAATCAATGCATTTATTGTGTGAAAGTTACTTTTAGTATGATATAATAGATTGGTCCGGTCTCGAGTGGGACTCATGTCTCGTAGGCATGTGTAGTAGGACTTAATTTGTTAGACCTGGGATATGTAAAAAAATGGTTACACAGCCTACGTGCTCAATATTTGTCCTAAAATCAATGCCTCACTGCCATTAGCTTCGTATATACATAATGTGCTATATAAACTTTTTTTCCTTTCTCATTCGAATTGCATATACATGCTTATTGTACTCGTGTACATTCTACATAAGCTATAGATGCACGGATCACTAAATTACAATTTGAACTATATAAATGCAACAAGCTTAGCACTGAATTGGCACAAGTATGATAGGTTTAGGATTGAATTGGCCAAATTGAAAGGTATATGACTGAATTGGCATAAGTGCAATAGATTTAAAACTTTTTCATTATTTCCCCTTTAAAGTTTGAAAGAGGGTATTTTATCGATCATTATTGCAACAAAAAAATCACTTTATTAAAAAAGTCATTAACGTACTGCACTATATTGAAAAAAGACCATCATATAATGCACTATCTCATACGCTAGAGGATACGTATGCATCAATTATGTTAATTCGTTTTTGTAAACAATACATACGATCATTTTCAAGAAAATCTTTTTCACATCGTTGATTTTCAACAAAAACAAACCCAATCTCTTTAATATTAGTAATCAATAATCATTAATTGCGCCTTTGTTTGCTCATCATTGATTGTGCATTTCTTTTAGCGAAAATATGACCGATTAAACTTAAAAAATGTCCTTGGCGTCGGGGCTTGAATTCGTAGGCGAAATGTTGTATGTCTACAATATTAGTAGCCTGCATCTAGAATTGCTTATGGACTACAGCAATGCTGCGTATCGACACTACTAACAACTGCTGGTATATAAAAACATGTTTGTTAAGTACTTGTTTGAACAAGACTACAACTATAGCGTCGTTGACTTCTTGGTTCTGGAGAACTAATCAAGTGTCGACGTGTGTAACATTACATTAATTATTTGGTTAGAAAAATCTCTAGGGAATGCTAAAATATAACTATAATTTACCCTTATTGAAAACGATCATACTTTGGATACGCCCTAGAGGTCAAAGGACCAATCCTATACGAAATGGTTAGTGTGGCAGCAAATGATGACAAACCCTAGCTAGGTAGAGACGATATAATTAGTGTTTTGGTCTTTGTTAGATGTGTCAGTACGATTAGACTTTTAATATTGGAAGAGAAGACTAAAGTTATGCAGCAAGAAAAAGGGCGGAAAAAGATAAGAGGGTGAACCAACATCACACGATTTTTATCCCAAATGAATATTGGGCAATGATGCGGATTAGAACATTATAATGTGGCCGACATTGGCTATATGCCTAATTACTTATAGAATATGTGACCCTCTTGATCATGTCTCTTTGGCGAATATATGTAGTTAGGGGCATTTTCTTGCCCTAGGATTGGTAGGTCAACATATGCATGGATTCTACAAGTTTCAAAAGCAAACAAACTTTCTGTGGTTTAAGTTCTCCATCAAGACTAGTCAATTGGAGGAGCAAATCTATATGAGTGATTTGGACTTTTTCCCCTTGTTTCCCTTCACATAGAAAAGGGCATTTACGTTGGTAGATTTGATCATATAGATACGAATATAATAAGATCTATACGAGTGAATGAACCATGTATTCCCAATTACTCATAGTTCGAATCTTATACATACACACACACACATATACATGTGGACTATATCTATGTTTACTCATTATTAAACATTCATCAGTTCTTTTAGTTTAAAAGAAAACCACTTGTCAAGCTATAAAATACCTTGGGGAGTTCGATTCCTCATATTTTCAGGGGGCAGGAGTGGGGATGTTTAGTTTCAGATGTGGGTTTCAACTCCCACGCTCTATAAAAAGGCAGGGTAAAAGTCTGAGAGTGAGTTGAGAGTTAGAGTAAGACTGAAAAAAAAAAGCTACAAAATACCTATTTCATTTGAAAGTGGATATATATTGTTTACCACACTTAGGAATTGTGAAACTAATGTGCTCTACCCCTTTTTTTAGCTTTAATTAATTACAATATCATTAATTTGATTTTTTTTTTTATATATACTTGATGCTAGTTCGTGAGTTTGGGGGAGATCCGGTTCATATTAACTTTTGGCTAACAACTATATTTAGCTCTTGCAGACAAACCCAATTAAAAAGATGTTGAAATGGCTGCTTTCCTTTTCTTTTCAGCTTGAGTAATGATAGTTGCTTGCACTAAACAAAGGATCAAATTTCAATGTATGCTGTCAACAAAAGTAATACTGAAGCATACGAAAAGGAAATTTTAAAAAAGTGAAAGAAAAGGGCTTTAGCCCGTCGAAAAGTTGCTAGTATATACCGCATTCACATGCCCATCCACCCACTAAAACCTGATGATAAGCTTCCAAAAACATTAGGCGAATGAAGAAAAACTAATTTTAGCCATCACATTAACCCCACCGACAACAGCAACGAAACCCTAGTTCGCAGAGGAATATCTAGCACGTGAACAAAGCTCCATGCACAAGATGCCTACACGATCCAAACTGAGTTCACATCACTGCCCCTCGATGGTTCCACAAATCTGGAACGATTGCCATTACCGTCCCACCTCCATGACAAGCCCCTTCTCACAAGTCTCTGTCTTCAACTTTTGTGAAAGAGAAAAGCGAAGGCAGAGCGACACAAAACGGAACAAACATTGAGGCTTACACCACCTTGACAGTTACATCATTAGCCCAGATCAACTGAACTTATTATTCCGCACCAACACACAGAACGTGGGGAATTCAAAAGATAAGCTAAAGAGACACTTTTGAAAAGATAAGAAGATATCCAGCACAAAAGAGATATGATACGGCAGAGACAGAAGCAAAAGCTTGTTCCCTTTTATCGGTCGATCTGGCTAGATCTGAACGCTGTCCTCATCCGGTCAATGACGTCGTTCGGGGGTCCAGTGCGGCGCACTAGGGCTGAAATGCGCCGAGACCACCCTTGAATTGAGAAGCTCCACTATAGGCGTGAAATTCACACATCTTGGTGCCTTGTATTGATTGATTGAAGCACCCCTAGAGATTGCATAGTCCATGAGCTCCTCAAATGTACCATTTTTCACCACCCTTATCTCTAGAGGCCCGATCGAGTTATCTGCAACCCGGGATTGCCGGTAGACCGAGTTGAGGCATTCTTCCATGGCGAGGCAACACCGGTTGAGCACCTCGTGAGCCGGCGCATTGGTTGGCTCCTTCACGAGCAGTTCCCAATAGATGACGTAGTGCCCTGGGATGGTCTTCGTGTCAGCGTAGCTCGTATACTCGACCACGCTGGTGTTGAACTCGCGGAGAAGTGCTGACGCGCTCTCCACGGCCTTCTGGAGCTCGGACTCATCTGTCTTGTCCGAGTCGATGCTCAGGAGCACATTCTTGCGCCGCACGAAGCGGAACTGCGGAGTGGCATTGTGGAACCCAGTGACCTGGAGGATGTCACCGACCCGGTACCGGCAGAGGCCTGCATAGGTTGTGATTACGAGCTCATACTCCTTCCCGGCCTCAACATCCACCAGGTCGACGAGCCGGGGAGGGGAGTCCCGGGAAAGTGGTGGGGCTGACGGGTCATGGGGGAGGAACTCGAAGTAGGCCATGTTCGGCATGATCGTGTACGAGACCTCTGAGGGCTTGCACATGGGTTTTAGGTTTAGCCCGAAGTAGCACTCGGATGATGCATACATAGTGCATGCCATGGGCAAGCCACCACTATAATACTCTAGGGTTGGTATGTATTGAGCCATAGCCCCAGTCACAATCACATCCAAGTACTTAGTGTTGGGCCAAATCCTAGTTATGATCCCATCCCAATTTTCCCCGGAACATTCCTTTTGAATGAGCTCGGCGAGGTCCGGTTTAGGGCTTAGGATCTTGGACATGCATTCCCGGATGGCAGGGTCAGTGACCTTAGGGTTTAGGGAGCCAGTGGCGATGTCGTGGGCTAGCTGCTGCCAGTTGAGCTGGAGGAACTTGATGGCACGGAGGAGGCCAGAGGCGAACACAGCGCCCACGCGGAGGACCTCCTCACGCATGAGGAGGCCACAGAGCATCTGGGTGTACATGCTCTGGAAGGAGTCGGCGCAAAGGATGGCCTCGTTCGGGCTCGTGTAGACATTGTACGGGTCATAGGGGCGGGTCTTGAAGAGGTCGCTCTTGTAGTAGCTCGTGAGCACCGGGCGCGCCACTAGGCCACCCGGCGTCTTAGTCTCCGCCTTGATGAAGAGGAAGTAGAGGCCCTTGCCCTTGTCCAGTCCGGGCACATAACTACATATCAACAAAAAAAATTCAAAAAAAAAAAAATCAGATATCACTTCCAAAATAACCAGATCAATGATAAGAGGAATGCTATCTTGACTCATTTTATAACACAATATCACTACACTCATAGATCATTGTAAGTCTTCTAACAACACTTCGTTTGGACAAATTATACATTTCACTGCAGAGGGTCTAAAGACGAAAGGTACCAACCACAAAAGAACTATAGGATCTTCTTGGGGATATACTTACAAGGAAATGCAAACTAAAAAAGTGAAGCACCCGCCATCATTTCTTATCAGGCTACTCAAAGTTGCGTCTTTTTTATTATAAAAGGTCTCATTCAGAAAACATTTGGTTATAGCCGCCATCATTTGTTTTTAGGCATACTCACAGGTTCATAACCGGCATGAGGAGACTGTAGAGTAGTTGGCGACGGTCCAGCTCTTCTTGAATGGTCGGCATCAGCTTCCTCTCTCCGGCCGAAGTACCCGAACTGCGAATATGTGCACTCGTCATTATATGCTCACACATTAATTAAGGTCATCATCTTCCATAGATAGAACGACATAAAATAGATAGATTCCAAGCTTCTTTTTTCCCTTAAAATCACCAGGATTAACATACAACGGACATGATATTAAGCGAAAAAATAATTGCACCTGGTGAGGAACTCAGAGATGGGGTGAGAGCACAGGATGTTGGACCGGTCACCGCTGGCGATGCGCCGGATCTCGGGCTGGAGGTCCTCGTAGGTCACCACGGGGATCTTGGCCTTGAAGGAGTCGCGGTCTGTGGCACCGCCGAGCCCAAACCGGCCCAGGTACTCGGTCTCCGAGTTCCGGCTCAGTATCTCCCGGAGCACCCTCTCCTGGACCGAGTCCACGTTCCGGGTCATCTCCTCGATGAACTGGAGCGCCTTCGCGTCCTTCTCGCAAGCCGGCGGGCCCAGCGGAGACGGCATCGCGGAGTCGATGGCCATGACTGAAGGTCAGGGAGGTTGGCAAGAGAGAGACAGAGAGAGAGGAGAAGGGGGGTTGGTTTGAGCGTGCGGTGAACAGAAAGAGGAGAGACAGACGTTTGCTGGTGGGCTGTGTAGTGAAGAGACCGTGCAAGGAGATGGCGAGTATTTATAGCCGGTGAAGTGCGGGGTAGGAGGAGGCCGAGGAGAAGAAGGAATAGCGGTTTTCGGAAGTAGGACGCAGGGGGGCAGGGGAGGGGACGGTGGCGACTCCGGAGCGAGCGACACAGCAAATATTTGTGTCGCAGCAGTTGTCCCCGCGAAGGGGGGACAGGCGGGGCCCGTGACAAGTAAGCTTGCCACCTGGTCGGGGCGACACGCGGGGCCCACGTGTCGGCCACGTCAGCGGGTCCTCGTCCGGGTCCTTGTACCGTTGTACATATACCGAGCGAGAGGGCGGCCAGAGGCCCGTCCTGGCCGCCCTCTCGCTGTCCGCACGGCTCTTTTCTTTCTTGGAGAGGAGCTTGTTGGCCTCAGGACAACATCTGTTGGTAAAATAATCAGGGATTCCTTAGGATAATTTCCTTATTTTGAGACATTTTGAAAAATCCGCTTGATTCCCCGTGTAAGAACAACCGAAGAAAAATATGCACGCAATCTTGACAAATACAGAAAATGAATAGAATCATTAAGATATTTGTGATATAGGATAATTTCCTAGAGAGATATGCACAACTATTTAGAGATACGGAGAATTCTCAAAATATCCGTAGCATTAGGAAATTATCCGGAGAATCCCTAATTATTCACTAACAACAACAATGGCTGCCGGCTAAGATACGAGAGAGAGAGAGAGAGAGAGAGAGAGAGAGAGAGAGAGAGAGAAACGGCCAAATGCAAATCTTTTCTTCTGTTGCGTATGGGGAAGGAGAACACTAGGACCGTGTGTGGGCTTTTCTATGATTTTGTTCTTGGGTTGGTTGTATTGGTTCTTTTGTTTTTTGCAATAATGAAGCCGGTGTCTATATAGATAACTATATCTTTGTCTTGTGCTGATTAGGATATCTATCTCCTTTGCGAGGGAAAATTGTCCAAAAAACCCTAGATCTATTGCACTTTGGCCAATTCAGTCCTAAGTATTTCTTTTTCTTTCTTTATAATTTTTTTTTATTTTTTTGTTTTTCTTCGTTCTTTCTTTTCCTATTTTTTTCCCTACCAAACCTAGCCAATCATAGGCGAGTGCTGGTGACCCTCGTCGGCCATTGAGTGAGGGCCACGAAGCCTTTGTTGGTCATGGGTGAGGGTCGTAGCCCTTGCCTAGATCTGGGTGACGATCGCGAAGCCCTTGCCAGTCGTGGGTGAGGGTCGGCTAGCCCTTGCCTATGACCGGCGAGGGTTGATCGGCGACCGTCGTTGGGTTTGAAAGAAAAAGAAAGAAAAAAACGAAGAAAAAAATAAAAATTATAAAAGTTATACATGTTAGCGTCGGTCGTGCCACCTAAGATGGCTGGCATTCACATTATCGATTTCTAGCTAAAATTGGCCGGATGGACGCAATTAGCAAAACGAGAAAATATTTAGAACTTAATTGGCAAAATTGAAATGTTTATGACTGAATTGGCCAAATTGCAATAGGTTATAGGACTTTTTGGACAATTTTCCCATATCTATAAAGTATATACATTTGCCACGTTTGGCCATCGCTTAGCTACTCGATGAATTCAAGAAGCTTTTCAAATGTGCTGCACAAGATCTTTGTAGGGGTTTTATACAAGTTAAATCGATCTCATTCGTTCGAATAATTCAATGAAATTGATTAGTCTGCGAAGAATGGGCGTGTGTTTAGATGTATCATCGACCATTCTTGAACTCCTTGTCACACCGTGTACAAGTTAAATCTGATCTCATTCGTTCGAATAATTCAATGAAATTGATTAGTCTGCGAAGAATGGGCGTGTGTTTAGATGTATCATCGACCATTCTTGAACTCCCTTGTCACACCGTGGTGAGGTGCAGTGAGGATCTCACCAATAGGCAGTTGGGTCTATCGTGGCACGTACATTTGAGCAGTGGATGAGGCGGATCCCAAAGGATAAACATCAAAAGTTTTTCAATCTGTTCAATGATTGTTGAGAGAATTACTCTATCGAATTTTTTCCCTCTAGCCATCTCAAGAGAAACTTTTAGTTCTTGCTCATATCGGAACTTGATTTGGAGTTTACTATATTAAGTTTAACTATGAAGATTACTATGATTGTGTACTCTTGGAGAACTACAACTTGGTATAATGGCGAAGGATAATAATGGGGAAAATTGTTTAAAAAGTCCTAAAGTTATTGCACTTTTAACAATTCAATCTTAAACCTTTCAAGCTTGCCAATTGAGTCCTAAACCTTTTCACTTCTTGCCAATTGAGTTCATCTGATCAATTTTGACTGCCCGGAGCTGATGTGGACGCTGGTCGGCATCGGCCATTCGGCCACCGCTGATGTGCTAATTTTTAATATATTTTAAATATTTTTTTCCTTTTTTTTTCTAGCCTTCTTTCCTTAACCTTGCCGGCCTCTGGCAAAGCTCGCTGGCTGCTGGCGAGGGCGAGCCTCGCCGACCCCTGGCTGGACGAGGTCGAACCTCACTTAGCAAAGGCAAGGCTGACCTCGCCGTCGCCTGGAACTCCCTTGCTTGGGTTGCGACGGCAAGGTTGGCCTCGCCTTGGCTGGGCGAGGCTCGACCTCGCTTGGGTCGGGACGGCGAGGTCGGGCAAGGTTCGACCTTGCCCAGCCAGGGGCCAGCGAGGCTCGCCCTCGCCAGTGGCCGGCAGGGGCGAGCTTCGCTAGAGGGAAGAAGGTAAGAAAAAAACAGAAAAATAAAAAATATTAAAAAAATTTAAAACAAGTATTAAAAATGACCACATCATTGTTGGCCGGATGGCTAGCACTGACCGGCATCCACGTCAACTCTAGGTGGCAAAAATTAGTTGGATGGACTCAATTGACAAGAAGTGAAATGTTTAAGACTTAATTGGCAAACTTGAAATGTTTAGGACTGAATTGGCAAAAGTAGAATAGGTTTAGGACTTTTTGGACAATTTTATTGATAATAATGAATAAATTCTTTGTTAACGTCACCTTGATCTTTTGTTTGAAGAAACATGAGGAAATTGTAAAGATGATGCACTACATAAGACATGGAGATAGTGGTAAGCGGAGAGGCAGACGTAACCTTCAAATAAAGTAATCTCTATTTTTATATGTTCTCTTTTCTCTCTCGTTCGATTTGATTTGTCTCATTCAACGTTAAGCCGCTCTCTTATTTTGTCCCCCTGCCCTTTCTCATCTACCCAATTTCTTTGCACCATTTGTTTACATAATCTGACGAAGTTTTTCTCAAACGATGTCTGCGATCATTTCTCAAGCATATTAATTTGGCGCAACGTGATGGTATCGATCTAGACATAATTGACACAATTCAATTTTTAAAAGAAAAAATGATACAAATAATCCCTAAATTTTGACTCAATATGCAATGTGATCCATTAACTTTTAATTTGTTCAATATGGTTCTTGAACCTTACCCAAATGTGCAATGTTGTTCTTGAACTTTTGGTACATGTTTAATTTAGTCCTTGGACTATATGAAAATATTCAATGTTATATGTACCAAAAGTTTAGGGGCCACATAAACAAATTAAAAATTCAGAGATCACATTGCACATTTGGGTAAAGTTCAGGGACCACATTACACATCGGCCAAAATTCAGGAACTATTCACGTCATTGTCCCTTTTTAAAGAAAATTTATGTTGTGCAAAAATAAAGAATGATAAACGGCTAGATTCAATTTTTTCCGGTTTTTGTTTTTATTTTTCACATGAGGGATGGAATAATTGGGGTTTCTTATGGGATGCTCGTCCATCCATGGTGGTGCAGTGATCACGTGGACGTGACATAATTCTATTTTTTGCAGAAAAAGAATTGATGAGGGGGATGATGGTTTCTGTTTTGTACGCGTTGTGCATGTCATGGTTCGTGATGAGGTTTTATATAGAAGGGAGAGGAGGGAGCGGTGGTGGGTGAAGCTTTTGCATTGTTTCTGCGTCATCTGACAGTTGCTTTCCAATGGCTTCCTCTCCCTCACCATCTTTCTGGAATGACTGGGATAACAAAGTTTGGTGGCAATATTTTAAATTCTTTTGGAATTCTTAATGGGGTTTTCTTCTTTTATTCCATGTTAACGTTTATCTTCCCAAGAAAAAGATCACCCAAAAAAAGAAGAAGAAAAAGATCATATAGACATCGAAGGAATCCCGAGGAACATGAGGTAACCATCTAGGGTTAAGCTAAATTTGTCAAGAGGAGCAAGTTAGAATGTCCTTGTCGATGCTCAAATGAAAAGAAGGGCAGTGGAGAGTTGAAACAACAGGAATTTTGTTAACATATTCAAATGTCGCTGTCGCTACACATGACCGATGCAGGGTGGTCCAGCAGCAAGTTGGTCTTTTTTTCTCATAACAGGACGTGGTGAGAATAACTTTGAAATTCACATGGAGGTTACTACGTTTGTATGTGTGTGTGCTTATCTTTATAGGATGAAATATGATGCCATTTTCATCAGTTAGTTATATGAGATTGCAAGGACCAATTGCACTTGAATCCAAGAATTACTCATTTAGTTTGGTCTCAATTAAAATCTTTTGAGGCACCAAAGACACTTCGGTCCACTCCCAAAATGACGCCTAGTTGTTAGAAAAACTCATAAATCTATGGTACGTCGGACAATTCAGTCATAAACTTTTCAATTCTGTCAAATTAGTCATAAACATTTCGACAATTTTCTAATGTAGTCCTTTATGGCCAAAACTTGGATGATTTTTGTAATTTTTTTGAAATTTTCTGAATGTTTTCTCTTTTTCTTTCTTCTTTTTTTTCTTTTTTTCTATTTCTTTGCATTGGTCGCCAAGGCCTCGGCGATGGTCAGCAAAAACTGCAAAAATCATCTATGTTAGAGATTTTTGTCCAAAAATTGGCCAGAAAGACTACGTTAGAAAATTGTCGAAAGGTTTAGGGTTAAAGTGGTGAAATTAAAATGTTTAGGACCGAATTAGCCTGTACAATAAGTTTAGGAT